ACCTATTATTTTTATTAGTGGCAATAACAATAGCAAATCTATTTCTGCCAGAATTCCTCAGTGTAGGGAAATTTCCAAAAGCACGAAGAACATCTCTCTGAACCCATGGCACTATGGCAGTGCACTTCCTGCACCATTAATCAGAGCTCAGTATTCTTCTCTTCCAAATCAGTCTCAGCAGACAAAAGCAAAGTATTTTAGTAGAAATCAAGCTTTCAGTTGACTTTATGCTATTGTGAGAGTTCAGGTTTAAAAATGAAATGGAAACAAAACAAATCCCTAACAGCTCAAAAAGTGCCAAAGGTTAGAAGGGTTTTGAAATTTGGGGATTAAAAAATGGTTAATGTTTATATAACACCATTTTTATTGTCTTGGATTCAACATTCCCATATTTCCTTTTGGAGAACTCCCAGGTTCCACTTTTCTCTGAAAGGTAAGAATTCCCAATTACATACTTAAATTACAGGGGAGCCTATATAATTTATATGCTAGTATCTGACCCTCTGATGTAAGAAATTTATCATATTTGCATTAATTTCTTAGAAAACTTTTAAAACTTAGATAAAATAACCAACTAACTAAATTATTAATAGAAAATGTAATAATCCAGCTACTTAATTATCCAACCACATTTCTCAAAATAAGGTCTTCTTGGATTTATAAAGGAGAACAAAGTGGAGTAGCTCCACTTTAAACAAATAACGAATAATCTGAATATATTAAAAATACAAATTGACTGGAAGCATGGTACAAGATAAGTATAATCCCTCCCAAGATTATCCCCTTTTATTAGTCAAACACACTCAAGATTAAATGAAGGCTTTTTAAAATCCTTGCTTTTCACATTCAAATTATTCTGGAAAGCTGGAAATTGCAATTTTATGAATGGCTGAACAAACTTATGAACAAGTACACTTCAAGTATTTTAGAACCAGGGATCTTTATGTTGATTGATTGTAGGTAGATATTACATATTTCATACCTATTTCATTAATGGAGAAGACTCCTCATGATTTATAGTTCGTGAGAGAGAAAAATAAAAAAACCTTCCCTGACCGGGAATCGAACCCGGGCCGCGGCGGTGAGAGCGCCGAATCCTAACCACTAGACCACCAGGGAACTTGAGAAAGATTTCCTTGGTTTCACTTCACTCTTTTTAAAGTCTCTGTGCGATTGTGACCACTAGAGGGCAAATTGCAGTGCTGGAGTAAAACCCATTTGGTTCTTGTTCTGGGTCTCCGCTCTAGAAACCCGCACTTTTTCAGTGCTGCCCTGGAGCTCTGGGGTAACTCCTAAGGGAAACACTTCAGCCTTCCAAATCTAATCCTCTTCTGATTGCTGGACTGCAAAAAAGACGTCCTGAAATTCTCCTTCTAATTGCATTACTTGTAAATTTTTATGCCTAGGCAACTGTCAAACTTCTACTCCCCGATCTTGTTAATTTGCATTGTTTTCTAAACCATCTTACGCCACTTTCTCCACATCTAACCTCTGATTTGTATCTCTCTCTTTTTCTGTCACTCGTTATTAAGTGCCATTAGACATTTCCTAAATCTAACGACAGATTGCAGCTGGCAGAGAGTATTTCACCATGAAGATCGCGGGGAGACACCGAATATGCACAAAGCTCTATAAATGCGGGTCACCAAGGAAGGACCAGGTAGCCGACAGGACATGACACGAACACATATACACACAACGAGATTGCTGCTTTTCTGGACCCTTGGGCTAACAAGGCCCGGAGAGCTGTGGATGGCATGCCTAGTGTAGAACAGGGCGTCGCACGGGGATCCAAATAAACTCTTCGAGCCCACTGTGTTTCTTATCCTCTTTTCTCCAACGATTGTTATCTGGGCAATTGATTCACTTCTTTGTATTATGTACTAGACATGACTATGAAATGATGTAATTACCAAAGGAGTTCTGGAAACCTTATAGCCCAGCAGCAATTCAGAAACCCTCATAAAACGGAAACAGTAGACACGGGTTATAACTTAGGTTTGGAACTGACAGAAGTTACAGTTACAAGAGACGAGGACTTAAGTCAAACTTATGAATTCGTAATGAACTTGCTCACAACAAAAGGTGCCGGCTGTGAGATACAACCCCCATCACCACAAATGAGGTGAGCTGCGCTTGAAACAATAGTTTCTTGTGTTCAGCAACTCAGAGATGGCGTTTCAATCATTGACATAATCTATCTAAAATTATTTAGTAATATGCAAAAGAAAAGATTAAAAGGAGTTGTTAGGAATATGTAAAGATAAAAACATCAGAAGAAATTCCTAAACTTGATTACAGTTTAGATGTGAAATACACCCCCTTCCACCTCAAGGAGTTTTAGGACTTCACGTTCAGTACGTGAAACTCTTACCTCTCAGTTGGGAGGTACCCAGTCCTACGTATTAGATATCTGGTTTTGAACAAAAAGATGAAGTAGATATTGTGTTTTAGAATTTTAGTTTAAATTTTAATAGTTAAGTTTAATCACAACATTGTATACATGATGCAAATGGGTAGAGTGAAAACCATCCTCCTACTCTTACCCCAATTGCTCCTCTTTTTTTTTTTTTTTTAATAACAAGTCTCCAATCTCCTTGAAGCAATTCAATTTCAAAAACTTTTAAGTTACAGCAGTCACAAAAAACAGGGAATAGTCAGAAACAATAAAAGAATGACCCGGAGTACTGCATTTTTTTGTTTTGTTTTTAACATTGTCATGGCTTTATTCAAAACACAGTTGCACAAAAGTATTAACTTCAAAATTTTTAAGGAGAGGTTCTTGAGAAATTTAACACACTATATACATACTGCCAAGAAAGTGCATTAAAACAAAAAGAAAGAAACAAAGAAAGAAAGCATTAGAACAGGACATAAAACTGCTACAAAATATAAAACCTATGCTTATTTATTTGCATGAAAATACCACCCACAAAGCTAAGTAATTCTTAAAAATTATCTGGAATCTGTGTTATTTTCAAACCAACAAACTCTAATTTTGATTGCACAATAAGACAACTGATAAGAAAGTCAATATATAGATTTCATTTTAAAAATAAGCATTTTGTAATTGGTAGGGTGAGCAATGAGAATTCTCAGGACTAAAACATTTTAATTGTTAAATTTTGGAGAAAAATGTTATTAATCTTTTGGAGATTCCCATCCTCCCACCACTAAATTTATCCCAAGTATTTTATTTCAGTCTGTTATATAATTTTTTAAATTTTTTCCACAAACAACTTAGTTTTATTCTAAAACATCAAGTCATGTAGCAGGCCCCACATTCAAACCCCTATACTGCCAAAAACACCAAGTCATACGTCTTAAACTAAAAAAGAAGTAACAACAGTACTATACTTAGTAATTTGTGTCCTAGTAGAAAAACATAACTTCAATTAATTTGCTGATGATTTTTTAAAATTTACAAATGTGCAAAACAAAGGGACAAATATTTTAGGTGGCAAAGATCACCTTGAACATGGAGCCTCCGTGACAAAAAGGGACATGTACTTGTTCACTCTTATATTTTGTTAAGTAACTATATATAAGGAAGCACACACTCACACTTATCCCAAATATTTTTCTGTTTTTAGTGGACATCCACTTGAAAATAAATCCCAATTTTACCATTGACTTAGTTTCAAATATTCTTCCACCTGCTTACCATAGCCCAATTAAATGCTCTGTTTGGTAATGCTTTAAAACTACAGAAGAAAAACTATAAAAGTTCTAATAAAAAACATTATAGATACTTCACAGAGTTGGTATCCAAATCATTTGGGAAACCAACTTAAAATTTTGACTTGACCATTTCATTGTGAACAGGCAAGCCCACTTTTGCAAAATGTTAATGCTACTCCCCAAAGCCTTCCCTGCCTTTCTTTTTCCTGCTGATATGAACTTCCATATTGTCAACCAAGAAAGACTTACAGTAAGCACAAGTTATTGCCTAGAACTGTATCAGTAATAATATTCATATTTTAGAAAATATTTCATTTCTTCCAACTTGCTTGTTTAAAACCCAGACAGGTCTGAAAAGATAACTGAGGTATAAGACTAAAGGTTTTCTGGATATCCATGAGTTTCCCAACTTTCTTTTGGAACAGAGGGAAGAGAATGAAACAAGAGGGATAGTTGATCATTTAAAATTTGCTGAGAAGAATGCACACCTAAAACAAGATAAACTATCCACGCATGTCATGCTCTGCTGCCTGAAGAAGAAACAGCTTGCCTATATCTCTAGACATAGTATATGAAAAATCTTATCAGTTACCGTAATACCCATGAATTATATTACTGAATAGAACCTCCCCCAAAATGCATAAAATATACTGCTGAATAGAATCCTTATTATTCTGCCTTCTACTTTCCAACTTACTCATGTGACAATAAAAAAAAACTCCCAAATATCCTTAGCCAAAACAAATTCATTGCCTTCAAAGACCTCTGAATCACCTCTAAAAAAATAATCAGCTTATCATTCAAGAGGCTGTTGTCCTTTCTTATTGCAGCTGACTTCCACTTAATCTATAAATAACTTTAAAATCTTATGAATGAAATGCAACAAACTACCCCTGTATAAAAGTGATCATGTTTTAATTAAAGGCTAAATATGTTTAATATGGTGAACTTGATTTAGAAAAATTAAGATTCCAAATACATTGCTAGAGAATTTTAAAATGGGAGATTCATGAAAAAAATTTTCTCTACATACTATATGATCATTAACAAACTAGTAAATCTTAATTGTAATGATAAGACAAAAATAGTAAAACCACACTTTTCCTATAAAAAGTTACACATTATCTTCTGGTAGGGATAACTATTATACATGGAGAAACAAAGATGTGATCACTATTGCACACCCAGGATCACTAGGGAATGTGATCTTAGAATGATCTATCATCTTCCTCTCCATCATCCTCACCATCTCGTTTTCTCTTTTCTCTCTGAAGACTTTCTTCCTCTTCCTCCTCTTCTTCCCCTTCTTCAGCAGTCATCATCATCTTCTTCATCCTGAATTTCTTCTTTCATTAAGTAAGAGAGGCCCACTTCCTCTACTCCCTCTCTCAATTCTGAGCCTACCTTATCTTCATCCTCATCCTATTCCTCCTCCTCCTCATAGCCTTCAGGTGGATCAGCTTCATCTTCCTCCTCATCTTCATATCTTCCTCTCCATCCTCGTTGTCCTCCTCTTTCAAGTCTGGTGCTTCGTTATCCTCCTGATCAAATCCATCTAAGTATGTGATTTGCTGCAGCAGTTCAAAAATACTTTCTCTGTAACCTTCCAGGTTTGTGATCTCACAGTTAAACAAGTCAAGACTTTTCAAATTTTTAAGATTTTGCAGAGCTTCTACTGTACTGAGATCCTTGATTTTGTTTCCACTCAGATTGAGGTAGGTAAGATTTGGATATTTCTCTGCCAGAACTTCCAAGCCTTCAGAAATCATATTGTCACTAAATTCCAACTTTTGAAGTTTATTTAAGCTGGGAAGCTGGGCCAGAGAACTCAATTCTACATTAGCCATATGCAGAAACTCTAGTTCTTTAAAAGTGTCATTCAGGCCTTCAATTTCCCCATTGACACACAGGCAGTTGTCAAGGACTAACTCTGTCACAACCTCCTCTGGGACTCTGCTCCTTAACTCCAGGTTAATCCTCTTCTTCATTTCCATGTCTACCTCTTACTTTCTGCTACTACTGTTCTCTTTTCCCCTTTCCTGCCTTTCCCACTACCCTCAACCCTAAAAAATTTTAAAGACCTGGAAATGAATGAAAGCAAATAGGTATGGGGGAGAAAGAAAAGAATAGCAAATGGAGTCCGAGGAGATGGGACTCTAACTCAGCTGCCCCCGCCTCCTTGTCCACATACCTGAGTGCACACACACACACACACCACACACACACCACACACACCACACACACCACACACACACCACACACACACCACACACACACACACCACACACACCACACACACATCACACACACACACACCACACACAACACCACACACCACAACACACCCAACCACACCACACACCACACACACACACACACACACACCACCACCCAAACCACACATCACACACAACACACACACACACACACACACACCACACACACACCCACACACACACACACACACACACACCACACACACACACACCACACACACCACACACACACCCTGCAGTTCCTTCCCCCTCATTGGCTGCTCAGAGCGCTCCTCTTCATACTCTTTACTCTTCATGGTAAAGAGTGCTAGCAATTTCTTCTATATTGTCCCAGAAATAGTTCATCCATTTACAAATATCTAGGTTTTTTCTCCCAGCGCTTTTATTTTGAAACATAAAAATCCACAGAAAATTGCAAGTATAAAACAATGGACCACACACAGGTAGCCTTCTTCTAGACTTGTTCTGACTAATTTAGTAGCTCTAGCAACATGTGTCTCTTACGAATTGATATGTTGCTAGTACTAATACTTTAGATATTCTTTAAGTATTGCATATATTTAGATTTCAAGCTTTTTTATGCAAAAAATAGGAATGTAAAATTCCTCAATACTTTTTAGGTTGATTATTCTTAAAATTATCATTGGATTTATTGTGTTACATAAAATACTAAAAGTCATTTCAACTTCTTTTTACTATTTTAATATAGCTATTGAACTATTTTAAACTATATATGTAGTTTATATTAGGTTTTCATTTTATGATATTAATCTAGATTCACCAATTGTTAGTATTTTGCCATAAACTGTTTTGTCTAATCATTTCCCTTGAAAACCATTTTTGAGGTTACTTTGCCAACATCATTACTTATTTCCTAATTTTTTTTCATTTTTCTTTTATTATTCATATGTGCATACAAGGCTTGGTCATTTCTCCCCCTGCCCCCACCCCTCCCTTACCACCACTCCACCCCCTCCCGCTCCCCCCTCAATACCCAGCAGAAACTATTTTGCCTTATCTCTAATTTTGTTGTAGAGAGAGTATAAGCAATAATAGGAAGGAACAAGGGGTTTTGCTGGTTGAGATAAGGATAGCTATACAGGGCATTGACTCACATTGATTTCCTGTGCGTGGGTGTTACCTTCTAGGTAATTCTTTTTGATCTAACCTTTTCTCTAGTTCCTGTCCCCTTTTCCTATTGGCCTCAGTTGCTTTAAGGTATCTGCTTTAGTTTCTCTGCGTTAAGGGCAACAAATGCTAGCTAGTTTTTTAGGTGTCTTACCTATCCTCACCCCTCCTTGTGTGCTCTCGCTTTTATCATGTGCTCATAGTCCAATCCCCTTGTTGTGTTTGCCCTTGATCTAATGTCCACATATGAGGGAGAACATACGATTTTTGGTCTTTTGAGCCAGGCTAACCTCACTCAGAATGATGTTCTCCAATTCCATCCATTACCAGCGAATGATAACATTTCGTTCTTCTTCATGGCTGCATAAAATTCCATTGTGTATAGATACCACATTTTCTTAATCCATTCGTCAGTGCTGGGGCATCTTGGCTGTTTCCATAACTTGGCTATTGTGAATAGTGCCGCAATAACATGGATGTGCAGGTGCCTCTGGAGTAACAGTCTTTGGGTATATCCCCAAGAGTGGTATTGCTGGATCAAATGGTAGATCGATGTCCAGCTTTTTAAGTAGCCTCCAAATTTTTTTCCAGAGTGGTTGTACTAGTCTACATTCCCACCAACAGTGTAAGAGGGTTCCTTTTTCCCCGCATCCTCGCCAACACCTGTTGTTGGTGGTGTTGCTGATGATGGCTATTCTAACAGGGGTGAGGTGGAATCTTAGTGTGGTTTTAATTTGCATTTCCTTTATTGCTAGAGATGGTGAGCATTTTTTCATGTGTTTTTCTGGCCATTTGAATTTCTTCTTTTGAGAAAGTTCTGTTTAGTTCACTGCCCATTTCTTTATTGGTTCATTAGTTTTGGGAGAATTTAGTTTTTTAAGTTCCCTGTATATTCTGGTTATCAGTCCTTTGTCTGATGTATAGTTGGCAAATATTTTCTCCCACTCTGTGGTGTTCTCTTCAGTTTAGAGACCATTTCTTTTGATGAACAGAAGCTTTTTTTTTTATGAGGTCCCATTTATCTATGCTATCTCTTAGTTGCTGTGCTGCTGGGGTTTCATTGAGAAAGTTCTTACCTATACCTACTAACTCCAGAGTATTTCCTACTCTTTCCTTGTATCAACTTAAGAGTTTGGGTCTGATATTAAGATCCTTGATCCATTTTGAGTTAATCTTGGTATAGGGTGATATACATGGATCTAGTTTCAGTTTTTGCAGACTGCTAACCAGTTTTCCCAGCAGTTTTTGTTTGAAGAGGCTGCTATTTCTCCATCGTATATTTTTTAGCTCCTTTGTCAAAGATAAGTTGCTTATAGTTGTGTGGCTTCATATCTGGATCCTCTATTCTGTTCCACTGGTCTTCATGTCTGTTTTTGTGCCAGTACCATGCTGTTTTATTGTTATTGCTTTGTAATATAGTTTGAAGTCAGGTATTGTGATACTCCTGCATTGTTCTTTTGACTGAGTATTGCCTTGGCTATTCGTGGCCTCTTGTGTTTCCATATAAATTTCACAGTAGATTTTTCAATCTCTTTAATGAATGTCATTGGAATTTTGATGGGAATTGCATTAAACATGTAGATTACTTTTGGGAAGATCCTTTATTTCTAAATACTTAATCATAAATCTAAGAAAAGCAATACGAATGGTCAATGTTTCAGGCTTTTAAATTATACATATTGTCCACTTATTATATAGTAAAAAATGTTGAATTAACGTCTTTCACAATTTATTTCTTTCCTACCGGGATTCTAAAGGGATTATGTATTATTTAAGTTTTTAAGGGTCCTGTAAGTCCTCTTCCTTAACATCTGAATGGTTCCTCACCTTTAGTTTTTCCTTCAAGCCCATTTACTTTTTTGAACTAGTGGAAGGACAGAAAAGTTCAAGATTCTTCTAACTTAGTTATATATTTCTTCTCCAGGAAACTCCTTATCTCCTTTTCATTTCACTATATCAGAATATATACAATGTCAGGTAATCTCATGATCTGTAGGGTTGTGTAGGCAAAAATGATACCCCTTCCCACAACATGTCACCTTACAAAGCAAAAGGAACTTTACAAATGTGATTAAGGATTTTTTTTTTTTTTTTGTGGTACTGTGGCTTGAACTCAGGGCCTACACCTTGAGCCACTCCACCATCCCTTTTTTTTTTTTTTGTGATGGTTTTTTTTTTTTTTTGAGATTGAGGTTGCAACTATTTGCCTGGGCTGGCTTCGTACCAGTGATCTTCCTGATCTCTGCCTCCTGAGTAGGTAGGATTATGGGGGAGCGGGGGACTACCCTGAGTAGACTGAAATCATCTCAAGGTCCTTAAAAGTGAAAGAGGGTTGGATGCTGGTGGCTCACATCTGTAATCTTAGCTATTTAGGAAGCTGAGATTGGGAAGATCAAAGTTCAAGGCCAGCCTAGGCAAATATTTTGTGAAACCCGCACCCCACCCCCCACCATCGTCAAAATAACCACAGCACAATGAAAGTGGCTGAAGCCAAGTGTGCCTGCTTTGCAAATGTGAAGCTCTAAGTTCGAACTCCAGTTCCACAAAAAAAAAGTGAAAGAGAAGCAGCAGAATGATGTATGTGCCATTGTTGTCTTTGAAAATGGAGGACAATCAGAAAGACAAATGTTGCCTGCTTTCTCTCGGAAATGTGAATCTAGATCCCAAGGGAAAAAAAAATTACATGAATGTAAAAGAGGGACTATTTGGGTCAGGAGGAACAGAGGGAGCAAAGGAAAAAGATAATGGGAGTGTGCACATGGTTAAAGAACTTTATATGCTTGTATGAAAATAAAGAAACCCATTAAAAATTGTAACAAGGGTGGGAGGGAAAGTAATAGAGAAATTAAATTTGATCAAAATGCATTATATGCATGAATGGACATATCGTGATGAAATCTCTTTGTACAACTAATACATGCTAGTTGTTTTTTAAAAAGAAAAAGAAAGAAAGACAGGCCAGACACAGTGGCTCACTCCTGTAACCCCAGCTACTTGGGAAGCTGAAATCAGGAGGATTGTGGTTCTGTGGTTTGAGGCCAACCTTGGCAAAAAGTTTTTGAGATCCCCTCTCAATCAGTGGCTTAGCACAGTGTGAGCGCCTGTCATCTCAGCTACACAGGGAAGCACAAATAGGAGGAATGGGACCCAGGCCAGCATGGGCATAAAGTGAGATTCTACGTCAAAAATAACCAGAATAAAAGGGTTGGCAGAGTGGCTCAAGTGGTAGAGTGACTCATTCAATCTTCAGTACTGGCAAATTACAAAAAAAAAAAAAAAAAAAAAAAAAGGAGAGGGAGAGAGAGAGAAGGAAATAGACTATAGGAGCATGTTTTGTGACAATTTTTATAATAACAGGAAATTAATATAAGCCTGATTATTTGGTTAATATGTCTGCCATTTTTCTCCCTTATTACTATACCTGTAATTAGTAAATACTGTGAAAAACGACTACCACTGGTACATGTAATACTTTGAGACTGTAGAATGGTTCTGTTCTTCAGCAAAGTGCCACCCAATGGTTTTATCTTCTGCTCTTAATCATTGCCTCAATCAAGTATTGCTATAGTGTTTCTAAAATGGTGATGTTT